TTTTTTTTTTTTTTTTTTAATAGTTTCTCTTCCGATATAATTTTCCGCATAATAACTTGCGATCATTCGTTCAGATTTCTCTAAGGGCTGCACTTTCTTGAATAATAAGTAGACAGACCTTTCCGAAATTTATGAGCGACTTTACAACGCGAGTATTAAAGTGTGTTAAGATACATGTGTTTTTATTAAATACAATCAGTTCTCTCTAAAATGATTTAGAGAAAATTATATTTCATAAAACTGATAAGTTTTGCATGGAATTAATCTTGACGCGCACATTCCACTTTTATGCAGCGTAAATTGGTGCGCTATAATATTGTAAAGAGAAACAGGTGCGAGAAACGTTGACGATACTTCATTTCGTCGGAGTTTGCAGTGAATGAAAACGATCGGAATGATGGACGTCTCCATAGAATCTTTCTGAACGATCTCGCGAAATTGAACCGAAATTTTTAATGTTCTCAAACATAATTAGCATTCTATTAAAATTAATTGTAAAATTATTTCAGCAGTGCTGTTCTGTCGTCGTTTAATGAATTGCTGGGTGACACTCGCGATAATCTAATTATCGTCAAACTTAGCGCCTTTAATAAGCGAGGATACGAAAAAAGAAAAGCGAATAAGTAAAAGGCCTTTCATCAAACTGAAGACTTTCATTCTATTCTTTCTCTCATTCCCGGTTGATCCAGGAATATTATCTCTCTATTCCAAAAGTGATCCGAAAATTCCGTTTCGTCATTTTCTATTTTTTTGAATAATTGAATTTTTTTCTATTTCAATTTATTTAAATTCATCATATCATACTCTCCTTTTATACTAACTCGCCGTTCGTCTTTTATAAAAATACTTTAATGATTTAGTGACTTTAGATCGATATGTGAATAATTATTAAAAATTACATGCGAAAAAGTCTCAAAGAATTAATTTATTTAATAAAAGAATAACATAAGAGAAGAAAAAAAGATTATCAAAGAAAGGAAATGGAAATAGACAAAGTAGTT